TTTACTAAATCAAAGTCCTTGGGGGTGGTTGCAGAAAACCACAAACCTGCATTTATTTAATAAGTGCTCCCTCCTACGCGCTCCCCACCTTCAGTGAGCAGGAGCTCACTGAAATCAATGCCAGGCTTCCTGAGGCCTTGGCTCCTACCACGCTACTGAGCACAGATTTGGACACTCAGCAGGAACTTACGTCAGTGCTTGTGTGATTGAACGTACTTTGCTTAGTAGTTGTCTAACCACCTGAATCAGAATTCCCTGGAGGGCTTATTGAAACAGATCACTCTCCCCCACCCCCAGGGTCTCTGACTCAGAAGGTTGGGGGCCTGAGAATTTGTATTTCTGAGATGTTCCCAGGTGATGTGAATGCTGCTGGTCTGGGGACCACTCTCTGTCTCCACTGCACCATCTCAGCACCCCCCCCCACCCCGTGACAGGCTGACGCAGAATCAGCATTTTTAACAAGGTCCTCGGGAGATCTGTGTGGGAAGCATCATGGCTTGCTTCATTGGATCCTCCCACCGAACCCACGAGGCGGTAGCTTTTATGACTCCCATGTTATGGATGAGGAAAAAGAGGGTGACCGAGAGGGACCACCTGATGCAAAGTCACGGAGCAGCCAGCCAGCCACAGAGCAGGGGCTGGAATTAGCTCTGTGACATCCCAGCCCTCACCTGTTACACTCAGACGCTGTTTCCTCTCCCCACAGAAGCCCATCCAGCACCCCCTTTCTTCCACCGGACAACAGTCCCAGGGGGCCAAGCAGCAATGTGCTTGTGCCCAAAAGTATGTTGTGTCCACATAATTATATGACGAAGTCCCTGACCTCAGGTTTGTCACCTCGTCGAGGAAGACCTACCCAGATGAAACTAGCAATACCAGACAATATAAAGTGAAGTGTGAAATTGTAGGGTCAATAGCACATTTTATGTTGAGACGGCAGTTTTCTTGAAGACTATGAGTGCTGCTACAAATTTATGCTGAAAGTAAATTGAAGTTTTTTGGGGGAGAGGTGCACACAGAATTTAATGTTCCTTAAGTTATGCCACACCACAGTGCGACAATCCTTTCCCCCCGCTATAGATGACAGTCTTCCCCCAGCGTTCTGGTGGGTCTTTCTGACTCAGACTGACTCCTCAAGAAGCAAGGGGTGCAGAAAGGACTCAGGCCACCCTGCCCTGTCCCATCCCTGGTCCCTCCAGGCAGTTCACAGAGGGGTGGAGCCTTGTCTCACCCTCAGAACTTGCCTATTGTTTGGCCTCTTCCAGTTACAGGGCCACTGCTCCCCCCACCCCCATACCGGCTCTGAGCATTTCTCTGTGTGCTCTGTTTTCTCCATCTCCTTTACCTCTTAGATGTCTGTCTGTCTGGTCTTCCCACCTGCAGGTGTTATGGAGCTCCCTCGTCGTCCACCTGCTGTCACCTCTGTCACCTTCTACCCCACCCGGGGCAGCCCATCCCACGCGTGCTCACACAGCACACCTGCGGCTTCCTACCTGTAGCCACGGCTCTCCTCCAGGCCAGCGCTGCCCACAGGGCCAGGGAGACGACCCGAGACCGAGAGCAGCCTGGGGCTGCTGACACCGAACTGCTTTACTCCTCCTTTCTAGGTCAAGGCCGCCCACTCTGCTGGCTTCCGGGCCGGTGTAAACCTCGCCTGTCTGCTCAGCCGGATACTTCCTGTTAGTGGTTTCATTTTCCTTTATATAGTCTCCTTTGGGGTGCAGGACTGCGGCCAACAACCCTGAGAAAGAGGTACACTTCTCCTGTGCATCCCCCTCCTGCCTCCAGGTGCCCCGGGCTTCCCACTTCGCCCATGGCAGGCTCCTCGTTGGAGTCTAACCTGGGACCGAGGGTGGCGAGGGCTTAGCAGTTGGCATGAGGGACTCTGAGTGGAGGCAGATTGAAGCCCGAGAGACAGACACCATGGTTGTTTTCAACCACGGCTGCCCATTGGACTCACACTGGGAGCTGTAAACACTGCTGTTCCCAGCCCACTGCTCACTCGGTGGGTCTGGGGTAGGGCTGGGGCATCAGAAGCAGGTGGTTCTAATCCAGCCAGGACTAAGTGCCACTTTGCGATGATCTTGAAGCCTGGACCTTGACCCAGCAGCATCTATACAAGCCAAAGCTTTGTTAGGAGCTCAGATTCTTGGCTCCACTGAGTGCTACCAAGAAAAATCTTTAGAGTTGAAGCCCAGAGATCTGTGTTTTAATTTTATAAGCCCAGTCGACAATTCTTATATGCATTCCTACATGCAACAAAGATTAGATTAGACTACATTAATCAATTTTATGAAATTATTGAAATTAAAAAATGTCAATTCCTTCTCCATATTTTAAAAACAAGGTTTCACATAATAACCAGGATGTCCAGTTTCTCTAAAAAAAATAAAAGTAGCTAGAAAACTGGCACCACATATGTACCACGTTTAATCACAGTTGATCCAATCCATGTTGATTCAATCAGAGTTGATTCCATCAGAGTTGCTCTAACCTTAGGTTCATGTAATCAGAGGCCATTGCTGGCTATTGGGCGAAAGAGCCAGCAGTTTGTCAATTGCTCTGGTGTAAAGACTCCCACCATGGCGGGTTTCAAGCCACCCCTGTGAAGTCACTGAGTCACTGACTGTCGTGTGCTCCTGTGCACTGTTAGCGTCCAGAGCTGGCACAAGCCAGCTCCCTCTCCCGTCTTTTGTCACCTAATTGTGCTGGAATAAACATCCTACATTTTCTGAAGTCAAATTCCTTTGTCCCTTCTGTTTCCACCTTGCTCGTTATCCTAGGCCGACTCAGTTTGCTTTATTGGTGAGGATATTGAAATATTTAGAAGAGCTCAAGGGATTTGTTAGTGGTCAATAATCAGAAAGGCACGCCCACAGAGGTTTCCTGCTCTTAATAAAACCCGATTATAACACTTTGGTGGAAAATGCATGAAAAGTGGTATTTTAATAGTTCTATGTCATCACTTCGAGGTTCTGGGGCAGGTGAGTGAGCTGTGAGCATAAACAGCCTTCTGGTGAAATTCCTGGATGCTTAGTCCTCAGAGAGCCATAATTCCATCGTCATTAAAATATAGCCCGAGACCTTCTTGGCCTCAAGGTGTGACCACAAACGCAGAAGTAGGCTCTCTCCCCTTTGCTGTGTGGGAGATTTATTTCCAGTGAGAAGTGTTCCATTTTCCCGGAGAAGCTGAAGGTGGCTGGATGTGCACGGGCAGACACACAGGCAGCCTGGTGCTCTCGGGCTGGCACGGCATGGCCAGGGTCTCGGGGCGGGCGGAAGAGAGAAAGGAAATGCTGACAGCAGCTTCTTCTGAATGATGGATTCTAGTCAACTGTATTTCCTTTCTCAAAGCTGCATTTCGAGAGGGTCTTTTCCCTCCCCCTTGCCTCTTTCCTATACCCCCCACCCATGTCCTCACATCGCCATGCTAAACTGGAAGGGGGTGAGATGGGGGTCCCTCGGACGGGCTGTGGGAGGTTCAGCCACGTCCCCCTGTGGGAGGGGAGGGAAGGCCGAGCCACCTGGCTTCCGACAAAGAGGTCCCATGGTTCAGGAGCTGTGCTATAACCAGAGTAACTAACAGAACGGTCTGCATTTGTAATTTTGGGGGTGCAAGACTAAAAACTATGCTGTAAAAAATGAGATGGGTTAACAACCTGTGCTTGAACTGAAGCAGAAAGAAATGACCACCGTTGTTTCTGTGTAATTGCCTCTGCAGACAAACCCTCTCCTGAGACTTGGTCACCCATTCTTTCTTTCTTGTTTTTAAATATTTTTCTTTATTGATTTTAGAGAGTGAGGAAGGGAGAGGGAAAAATAGAAACATCGATGAGAGAGGACATTGATTGGCCGCCTCCTGCATGCCCCCCCACTGGGGATTTGGCCCACAACCTGGGCATGTGCCCTGACCGGGAATCGAACTGGTGACCTCTTGGTGCATGGGTCGACGCTCAACCCCTGCCCCACACCAGCGGGGCTGTTCACCCATTCTTTCTTTCTTTTTATTTTTTAAATTTAATTTTATTTTTGTTACAGATGTTTCTCATTTTTTCCCCATTGACACCCTCCTCCCCATCCCTGTTCACTCATTCTCATCTCATTTCAGACATAGGCTTGACTCTGGAAAACCCCCCGAGTGGGCAACGTGTGAACAATGCAGGTGAGCTGCATTTTAAGAAAACCCGGATACCAACTGGCAAACTTAACAGTTTAATGAGAGTATGTCTATGTCTACTACAAAAGGAAACACACTTGTTTACAATATGATTTGAATGTTGAATAAGATCAGCTTTCATCTTATGACATTTCCAGAAATATTTCTGTTATGTGAAGAAAGGCACATCGGCATTTCCAGTGAGTTAGTTTCCTAAGCCCATGTCTGGAGAACATCTCATGACTCAAGAACAAATCTCCATAGAGCTTTACAATTGTTCTGCCTCTTCTCCAGGTAACCCTCCCATCTCTTACTTAACTCAAAGTGACTACTTGTTTGTCAGTTTATAGGACAGAGAGATGAATCAACAGTCTAAGGTGGAAGGGGTGTTAGGGTCCCTCCCTGTCATGAAACCAATAAAAAATTGAGGCTGAGAGAGGGGATGGACTCACCCCGATGGCAGGTGTTCAATAGTGTCAGAGCTGGGGCAGAACCAGCCCTTTTGCCTTCTAGGCTAATGCATGTATCCTGACACTTCATTGCTGCATTGATGACCACCAATCTCTGTCCCCTCCCTGGTGACTTCTCTTTAGAGAGGTGGCTTGTTTTGCAGAAGTGGGAAAATTCCCCTTAAAGGAAGCTCTTATGGAGTGAGCTATGCACAGTCTAAACTGATCATACCTTTGATAAGTGTTGTGCTTCTTAGAACAGAGAGCTTCCTGAATGGTGACTACACAATATTTCCCCCCCGTGCCTGGGAATGAGTGGGGCGAGGCTTGCTTGGGGGCGAGAATCACGGAACAGACAGATGGAGAGGAAACCTCACAGCCTGCTGAAGGCTGCCTTTACAGTGACATGTCTTGGAAGGGGCATCTTAGGAGACGTCATAGGCCTGGTACTTTGTTATGGTCGATGGTCTTCTATTTTTCTCCTGGGACAGGTAATAGACGCGGTTGGCCTCTGGGTAGGTGACTTTGCTGAGCGGAAGCTTGTAGATGGCAGGGTTGTTGGTCGTCAGGAGCAGGAAGGTTAGCGCCGAGAGACAGAAGGGCCAGGTGCAGGGGGGTAATCCAAACTGGGGGGCAGGGAGGACACAAAAAAAGCCTTGGTTACATCAGATGCTGTACCAACACTTGACGTTTAAACTTTTGAGGCTCAACTCCTTCTGTCCAGCCGAGGTAAGTAGTGTAATTTGAGACAAGAGGGTGAACTGGGGAAGGCTTACTGGAGGAGGGGTTTTGTGTTGACTCTGGGGAGACGAGAGAACACTAGCAAGGGTGTTGTGGCACATTCTTAGCTCACATGGACTCACCACAGATAACATGTTAGCCAGGGCAGCACCCAGGTAGGCGGCAAACAGTGCTGGAAGAGAACCAAGACACAGTGAGGTGACTAACAGTGCCGAATGCTTCGTCTCCCTCTCCAGTGCCTGCCACAAACACTCTCTCTCGGACTGCAGAAAACTGAGTTCTGTTTCCAGTGCTTGGCAGCCTAGAAAAGTATTAAATTCCACACAAATGCTGACACGCCTAAGACAGCAGATGAACTTTGTTAAAAAGGGGCCAGACTTGAGCCGTTATGGTTCTCCTGGGTCCCACCACCTTGCATTCTAGCAAAGGAACATTTAGTGGCAGAAATGAAAATTTTACTCTACAGCCCAGAGAAGTGAGTCTCAGAACTCCCTGCTGGTGTATTTCGTCACGAGTTATGAACATTATATGGGTTCCCAGGGAGGAGCGGCGTTCAGTGAACTTGAGGAAGAGCGAGCACCTGACTGCCTTGTCTCCCAGGTTATGCCCGGGAAGGACACCTCCAGGCTGGCCACCGGGGAGAGCCAAGTGCCTGCTATCGGCGTGGTTCTGTGAAAATGGGCCAGTGTAACTGGGCTTTGCTTCTGAACCTTTAATTTCTCAACTAAAAGCATCCCAATTGTTCCTGGGATGTTAATGGCAAAGACTTCATTAGAGTTACTGAGTGTCCAGCTGGTGCTAATCCTGACATTCTGTAACGTAAGCACTCTTTGAAGGTCTTATGGTCAATGTTTGGGTGCTTATGGTTCATAGCCGTATCTGATGCAAATCACCCAACTCCAAATATAAAGATAAATTTGCACAGGGTTGCTCTGTCGATTGGTTTCGATCACCAGCCAGGAAAGTCACAATCACAGGAGACAGCCACGAACAACCACCAAACAAGCACCGTCTAAAAAAATCTGTCTTCACGTGGCTGAACACTTTGTGTTCAGTGAAAATAATTTTAAATCTATTTATCACTAGACAATCATTCAAAACCAGTTTTCAGTAAAAGCCCTTGTATAAAGCAAGGGATCCTCCCGTTTATCTTGGGAGGACTGGCAGAACTTTCACGGCCGTTTTCCCTCGGGGGATAGCCCCAGCCCCCCGTTTTGGTGGGCAGGGATGCACTGGCAGTACCTACCGCAGGCGATGGCCAGGAGGTGCGTCTGCCAGGTGAGGACGTAGAACATGCCCCCGATGGCGATGCAGGCCAGCGTGCTGTTGAAGCCACACAGGCCGAAGTAGATGGAGTCGAAGGGCGTAGCCAGGGTGAGAGCTGCGAGAGAAGGTGGGCGGAGTGGGTGCGTGGGGGTGAGGCTCCCTGCCAGCCCTCAGACCCACTAGGGTCCTCAAAACCCAGACCCGTGAGCCTCTTAGGCACTTATCAGAAAGAACTTATGATTTTATTCAGTGAAAAAAAACAACAACACTTAAAGAAAACAAATGGCTATCAAGCCACGTAAACATAGTGGTGAGACCGTTATGGGCAGAAGAGACCTTTTGAGTAAGACTCTGACGTCTGATTTAAGCAGTCCAGGGACAGTCCTCCCCTGGCCAAGAAAGAGGGCAATGTCTCCTTCTTTAGTGATATCGTAATGTTCTCTCATGGGGACTGCATTCTTCTTATCATCATTACATATAGGACTTAAAATATAAACACGCCTGGAAGAAACCCCTCCCAAAGTTTAAATTTATACTAAGGTGTAAATGACTAACACCAACGCCTTTCTTAAGGGCAGTTTTTGCTCATGGAAGCATCAGGGCACTGGCACCCAAAATAGAAAAAACATGATACAATAAAAGGAGGGACACTTTACAGAATAAGCAGGTGAAGCGTTGAAAACACATGTCACCATTTTCTTTGGAGTTGGCCCCAGGCACCAACATTGTTATGGCCCATTAATAGGGAGAAGCGATGACACTGACCTGCTAGCATCCCCATGGTGGATCCGATTGCAGCGTGCAAGCAAATAAGAGGCGAAGATATGAACAAAGCGATGAGGAAGATGCCTCCAGTCCAGGGGTTGTCGCAGCCGTACACCTGGCCGATTCCCACAGGGATGGCTCTCAGAAGCTGTAGGAATCACAGGCATAGACAACTTGAACCTTGCCCGGAAAAGAATTAGTGCCAAACCCTCCACACTGACATTTTGCAATGGGTTTCCAAGACATATTAATTCAAATAGGTTAACTCTAAAAGGAACACGAACTTGATCGTTTTAATCTTGAGTTCTTAGGACATTCAGGCCGATATTAAGTTTCCTTGGTTGAGAAACATGGGTGTTAGGCAACTAAGCCTCCTGTGAAGAGAAACGGAAAGTTTTCAAATGAAGGTATTATTCATTAGAAAAGCAGTAGGTGTCTGATCAAAGCTGGAGTTTAAAAACTCTGGTTACATTCTTTTTTTTTTTTATCCTCACCCGAGGATATTTTTACATTTTTTGTACAGATAGAGTGGGAGGGAGAGAGAGGAAGGGAGAGAGAGAGAGAAACATCAACGTGAAAGGGACACATCGAGTGGCTGCCACCTGCACGACCAACCAGGGCTGGGGACAAACTGCAACCGAGGTACGTGCCCTTAGCGGGAACCGAACCCGGATCTCTCCGGACCGCAGGCCGACGCTCTAACCACTGAGCCAAACCGGCCAGGGCTGGTTACATTCTTTATAAAGCCAACATGATGATCAGAAGGCAAAAGATGAGATGGAGAAATGGTCCCTTGTGTTTTCCAGAACAATATGCTTGGGCTGTGGTCACGTTAGTTTGGTCTGGGCGAGCAGTGGGCCAGTGTCCACAGGGGGGCAGTGGGCCAGGGTCCACAGCGGGGCAGTGGGCCAGTGTCCACAGGGGGGCAGTGGGCCAGTGTCCACAGGGGGGCAGTGGGCCAGGGTCCACAGGGAGGCAGTGGGCCAGTGTCCACAGGGGGGCAGTGGGCCAGGGTCCACAGGGGGGCAGTGGGCCAGGGTCCACAGGAGAGCCCCGAGAAGGCAGTGTTGTCGTGTCTCCTTATTGATCGCTACACTGCCTGACGCTGGCTGATAGATGAGCACCCAGCTCGCACCAGGCTTCCGTGTGTCTCAGGGCAGAGGGCCTGTCGCCTGCGCAGGGCGGAGGGTTGGGGAGGCCAGGGTCCAGGGCCTGCGGCACTGGCAATGTGCTCTGGATCTGTAAAATGATTCCGGGTGTGCAGCCTTCCCAGCGACTGGGATTGGATCCTGTGTACTGGGAGTTCGGCCCACGGCCCTTGAGCTGGGAGAGTGTTTAAGGGAGGCGGTTCGTGCTGTGATGTACTGGGGTTCATCTCACCCCCTGGGCAGTAAGCTGAGGAGAAGCAGAGACTGGAGCCAGAATGTGTATATATTATGATAAGGCAATTCTGTTAGCCTGTGTACTCTGAGAAGACTCCACCCCCTGGGGGGGGGGTGCCGAGACAGGAGGACACAGTAGGAGCTCTTGGGCCTGCCTCGTGGGCTAACCCTCCAGGCTCAGTCCCCAAGCCCCAGGGACAGAGAACGGAATGGGGCTCAGGCATCACCATGTGGGGGAACTCAGAACAATCAAGAGTTTTATGGAGTGTCAGTGACGCTGCTCAGCTTAGTCCCAAGCTGGTCCCATCCGCCAGGGAGCGGGGCGGGGTGGTCTCCGGGGAAGAGAAGAGCAGAGGAACTCATGGGGTCTCAAAACTGTTGGGAGTTCTAAACCCTCTCTCTGACATTTACCGCCGGTTTCCCCAAAACTCATGGCTCTAAAGAGATGGTCAAAAGACAAGACATAGTCATCATTACTATAACCCATTCAACTGCCCAGGAGGTTATTTCGGGAGAACAACCATCCAAAATAGACATTTTCTTTCCTGGAACTTTGAGGGTTTTAAAGTATCTTTACAGGATTTCCTAATATATATTTTTTATTTCTCCAAAATTCCTAGATAGCTTTTCCATTAAAATGTGGCATGGAGCCCTGGCAGGTTTGGCTCAGCGGTTAGAACGTCAGCCTGCGGTCCAGAGAGACCCGGGTTTGGTTCCCGCTAAGGGCACGTACCTCGGTTGCAGTTTTTCCCCGGCCCTGGTTGGTTGTGTGGGTGGCAGCCACTCGATGTGTCCCTTTCACATCGATGTTTCTCTCTCTCTCTCTCTCTCTCTCTTCCTCTCTCTCCCTCCCACTCTACCTGAACAAAAAATGAAAAAATGTCCCGGGGTGAGGATAAAAAAAAAAAAGTGGCATGGAGATTGCAAATTATCTTAACCTTTGGTAACATCATCGCCCTGTAGCACACTGATTAGAGCAGTTTTGCCTTCCAAGGATGTGGACAGGGTGGACAGGGTGGATAGCCGAAAGGGAGGCCACAGGAGTGAATCGCCAGCTTGGCACCTCTTCTCACCTCTGGCTCATGAAGGCCCTCACACACATGCACACACAAGCACACACGTGCACACACGTGTGCCTGCACGCAAATCAATAAGGATGGGGCCAACACGAGCATTTCTCTTTCTAAATAACGACGCCTTTTGTGCGGTGCAGGGCTCTCTCTTCTCTGCACGCTGCTGCAGACGGTGACACGCTGAGAGAAACTAGGCAACATTAGTTCCGAAAGTTCTTTCAACAAGGGCAAGTGGCTTTGTGGATAGATGATGAATTGCCAATAACGACGTTTCTAAGTGAGCCCAGTCTGGGAGTTGTTCAGTGTAATGGAAACTGGGGCGGGGGCGGGGGTAGTAGCTCAGAGAAAACGTGTCCACTCAGATAAGGAGCTAATGGGCTCATTTCTCCAGGCTGATTTAATGCTCTTAGTGTAGCTTCTTATTCATTATCTTGGCAGACTTCCAGAGGCCAGGTTATATACAAGAATGCTTGTAGAAAACTTTAAAAGCTCTGTGACGTATGCGTGTCTTAATGGAGGAACACCTGTGCTTTCAGACGTGCGCGTGTCTGGAGGCTGGAGTACCTCCCCGAGCCTGTAGAGGGCAGTGTGATGCGTGCATCCTTCACGACTCCACGAGACTGGATGCAAGAAGATGCACCCGTGAGCCGGCTGAAAACTGCAACACGGCAGCAAAAAGACTTCGACAAAAAGGAAAAAAGAAAGAGCCGGGATCTAGCAGACAGGAGGCCAGAGTTCCAGTCCTGACTTTGCTCTTCACTAATTAGCTGTGTGACCTTTGGCTGTGTCTCAACCTGGCCTCAGTGTCTCCCTCTGTGGACCCAGAAAGGGCCTTTCTAGCTCTCGGTGAGAGAGAAGAGAGGATGGCGGCTCATGACAAGCTGTCTGTAGAGTGTCACACTGTATAATTGCTAATCGCGGATGTTCCTGCTGTGTAAGGCAAGAGAATGCCACTTGAACACCAAGTTTGGACACATGCCTTCCACAGAACCTACCAGAGGCACTTGGATCTCCGACCAGGTGATGTTGGGCACGGAGGACGCAGGCTGCAGCAGGGTCGTGGGGAAGAAGAGGTTGTAGTGGCCCGTGGCCGCCAGGTACAGGGTCACCAAGATGTTGAAGGGCAGCGTGAACACTGGGAGGTCCCACTTGCTGAAGATGGTGCCCAGGGCACTGGAGAGGATGGGGCTGATGGCAGAAGCATAGGAGATGCTGGTGAAGAAGCCCCGGCCCTGACACCAGACCAAGCGGGAGTGAGTGCCCCCTGTCTTCCTGGAGGAAAGCAGCCTGCGGGCTCTCTCTCTGAGCCTGACTGGCCCTGAGCACCAATTTCCCTGGGCTTCCTCCTCCCTGTCCCCGGCACAGCGACAGGGTGGATGCCCAGACTCAACGTGAGAAGCAGGGCCTTCTGGGGGAAGTCCGAAGGCAGGGGGTCACAGAACTTCTGTAGAAAGTCGTAGCTCCATGTCCAGGCATGAAGAGAGAGGACAGGCTGGGGGAGCGATGAGGCAGGGAATGACATTCATTCATTCATTCATTCATTCATTCAACAAACGTTTGTAAAGCACAGAGCCTCATGGCCAGAGTGCCCTGTGCTCTCTGGAGGCAAAGGGGAGCTGGGGCCTGGCACTCCGAGGGCTGTGCCTGGGCCTTCAGCCTGCACTGGGAGGTTGTCCTAGTTTGGTCAGGGGTCTCAAGGACAGTGCAAAGCTTGGAAGGGGGTGGGCGGCAGCAGGAGGAATGAGAAGAGTTCCAGAAACTGACAGGGCCCCGTGGGGTGGCTCTTAACCTATGTGCCCCTCAGTTCCCTCCCCTGTGCTGTTACAGGGCAGGACCAGAAACCCTTTTAGATCTTAAAAGAAGAAGAGTCAGGACGGTAGGTATTGGGGTAACATTTCCAGGCCACCTGGCACCGTGCCGGCACTGTACGACGTGAGTGTTTCCAGTGGAAGTTTCTGATGTTCAAGCTAAGTAAATGCCGCTTTAAAAGCGAGTTTAGACAGACAGTCTGGACTTGGGATAAAATAATTGGCAGCCCCTGATCTGCACCCACAGCCTCAGAAGCCAACTTACCAAGACATGGACATCACGATGACAGGGAGCAAAAGCCACCAATAATAGTCGCCTTTGTCTGAGAACACGGCCATCAGCAGCCCCACTAGCACCCCGTTGTATCCCTGAAGTCCTGCCGCAATGGCCGATCTGGGGAGAAAAAGGAAGGGCTGGTGGAGTAGCGGCTCCCCACGGCACAATGGGGGGTGCTGCCTTCTTGATTTTCCTTCTGACTCAGATCTGTCTGAACTGGGGTCTAACCGCACACACCTTCAAACAGACGGCCTCTCTTCCCACCCCCTAGGTGACACGTAGCAGTTACAGAGTCATCAGGGCATGGCTGTTTTTAGTTATCAGTGTCTTATTTTGAGGGGCGTCTGAGCTGGGAGCCAAGCAGTGAGGGGATGGGGCGGTGGCCTCAGGCTCAGACCCTGGGTCTCCCGGAACTTACTTGTCCTGACTGAGGATGAGGGCGGTCAGAGTGGACACGATGGTGCCCAAGCAGCCCGAGATGGCCCACCAGGGGTTCTGGACGAAGAGGCCAAGGACGATGAGGATGCCACTGAGGGGGTTGTTCACGAACATCACCTGAGATGTGCCCCGGAGGACCCAGTCCAGGAACTGGAACACTGGGGATTTGTCTGAAATGGAACCAGGGCAGGGAGTCAGTGCTCAGGGTGACGGCCCTGGGCCAGGCCCCGACGGTGAGTGGACGGTGTGAGGGAAACTCCACACCCAAAGTGATGTGCAAGGAGCCAGCCCCTGGCTGTCATCTGCCACAGAGGAGGGTAGACCAAGAAACTGGGAGGGCATTCAACTGCCCATAGAGCTCTTAGACCCACTGCGGACGGCTGTGGTCGAGGTTGTTTTCAGGCAGCGGATTCCCTGAGCTCCCTGTGCCCCCGTGCGACTGGCACGCATTTTCAAGAAGACGATGCAGGAAGAGAACTCTCTTGCTGCACAGAGGGTGTCAGAACCACGGCCCGAGCTCTGGGGAGATGGCTAAAGGGAACCTCTTGGAACAGTAGGCAGAGTTCTCCTGCGAGCCATCCACGGGGTGGGCATGTTTTCCTGGAAGGCTGGCTCTAGAGTCCCGGGGCGAAGGTGCTGGGCTGCACCCTGATGGCTCTTTGAGAAGCACAGCTGTTGTGTTGAGCAATGAGAGCCCATGCACTTACAGGCGCTGATTTGCACCCCAAGAGACTGTGTCTGTTCTAAGGGCCAAACTCCTACCCGTGAAAGACAGAGCGTCGTCTAGTCTACAGGGAACCGTGGCGAAGAGTCTCCTGGGGGATGCCGGGAGGTGACCTTGGGAGGGCAGGACGGGGTCGCTCTCACAGAACCGTTACCTTTCAGGCCGTCTCCACACTCCTTCATCTCTCCTGTGACGTAGCTCAGGGCATTGCTGATCCTCTTGCCGCTGGCAGCCATGTAGCTCTGGACCCAGGAAACCCTGGAGATGCTCGTCTCCACCTTGATCTCCGAGCTCTCCTCCATGGTGTCCAGATCCTGCCAGGGACACGACACGGGCACCGAGCGCCCCCACCCTGTGCTTCCCACACCCAGAAGTGGCATGGTGCTCGCCTGGGGCCCAGGCTAAGGATGTCATTGGTATTCTGTGAGATCGCTATTTAATCATCTCCGTGTTTCTGTGGACTAGAATATCTTTTGTTTTGTTTATCATGTCACCTCAGTTAATACGAGCAGCGCCCTTGAAACACAGCGAGACAATATCTGTGTTCTCATTCTGTGATGAGGGCTCAGGCATGGAGAAGCTTCCTCACATCAAGGTAAAACAGTAGAATTGGGATTTAAGCACAGATCTTCAAATTCTTTTTTTTTTTTTTATAATATGTTTTATTGATTTTTTAGAGAGGGAGGAAGGAGAGAGATAGAAACATTGATGTGAGGAACATCCATTGGCTGCCTACAGCATGCCCCCGACTGGGGATCGAGCCTGAAACCCGGGCATGTGCCCTGACCGGGAATGGAACCGGAACCTCTCATTCCGTGGGACGATGCTCAACCCGCTGAACCACACTGGCCAGGCCAGATTCTCTTTTAAAAAAACATTACTTCCACTATACCACACGCTTTCCAGGAGAACCCCCCCCCCCTCACACACCTAGCATTAAAATGCAACTGTCCATAAAATTAAACATGTAAAGGTTCTGGTTTTGAAAACTGGCACTAGCTCATTTCCGACATGCTTACATGCCAGATCAGAGAAAGATGGATAATAAAGAACTTAAATAAAGGAATAGGAAAACTTTATACAGTAAACTGTGGAAAACACACATTTTGACCCCAGGTAATCATGTTTCTGGAAATATGAATGCGAGAAAAGGTTGCCCAAACTAAAGAACACCTTTCCTGGGTCTCAGGTCCCTGATCTGCCACAGCTCTGTGACTGCAGGACGCTGACCCTAGTTTGGGCCACTCATTACTCACCAGCAACTCCACCGTGGGCTTTCGGTATTGATAGGGATAAGGGTCTTTGGTTTGCCTCTCCTGGTGTTCACCTTTCCCAAACACTGCAGGTGGAAGGAAAAAGCATCATCAATGAGGACACTCTGCCCTGGTACTGAGCAGCACATTTCGTAGAAGTTTGGCATTGGAATATCTCTGTCTTGTTGCACTAGTGGAAGCTCAGATCATGGCACCTCGCGGCTGGACGGTCCCTTTCTTTTTCAGTTACTGGTTATAAACCCATTTGGGCTCTCCCTTTGGGAAAAACAATACATATCCTCATGTAAACATTTTACAGGAATTTAAGGAGTCCAGAGATTCAACTGACTTTTAGTTCACAAGCTCAGATTTTGCTCAACCCTTATATTTTTTAGATGAGAAAACAGTGACCTTAGATGAGAAAACCCGAACCAGGGTTCTGTTTCTGATACTACATGGAAAACTCCTGGGTGTGCAAAGAAAGAAACGTGGACACTATTGCTCATGACGTAGTAAGCTACCTGAGCCATGCAAGGTCTGTTTGCATTTGCCTATGACTCTTTGACTCTGGGTCGGTCTCTTTTTTGGTTGTATGTCTCCAAATTTTAGGTAGTTTTAGCAGCAACTGCTGGTTGAAAACGAGACAAGTGATAATCCATGTCATTACTTAAAATTGACTTTGGCATGTCTTTGTAATTTCAGAAAACTGTTGTAAAGTGGCTCTGAATGTATTTTTCACTATTACTACATAATTTATTTTTAAAGATGACCAATTTCAATAGGGTTTGTCATCCTAAGAGAAGTAATGGCCCTTGGAAGTTTCGGTCTTGATGCTCTGGTTCCCTCTCGTGGTCAAGTATGAGAATGGCAGGCTGGGCTCTGAACTGAAGCCGTATTTTCAGACTGAGTAGGCAGGTCCCTCATGATGCATTCAGAGTCTTCAGAGTATCTAACAACCAGAAGGAATGCATCAAAGGCACTGTGTTTCCACTCTTGAAGGAGCAGGATCTGCAAATTTCATTGTGATTGGGAAGTTACACTATGCAGGGGAAACATTAATGTTTGGGGGCTTAGAAAGGAAGGGTAGGAAGCAGAGAGGCCAGGTGTGTGGGGTATCCCCACGGCCTCGCTGCTTACCTCTAAGCTCCCCACCACCTGCCAACTTTTCAGCAATTGTGACCAAGCTTCACTTCCCAGACTCCTTTGCACAGGCTCTCTCTAGGCCCTCCCCACCCCAGCCCCAAACCACATGATAGGAGCATGTTTGGAGGGAGATTATGAACTTTTGAGGCAGGGCAGGCTCTCTTCCACACCATGCCCAGGGCCCCTGACAAACAAACACTCCTGGGCTAGAGGGCTCTTGAGATATGTTGATGCCCTCTCCACCCCGTGTGGTGTTTTCCATAACACTCCAGCCCATTTCCCTAGGTTGGCTACTTTGGGTGTGAAAGGATGAGGCTCAGATGACCTGCCCAGTGTCACCCAGCTGGCCAGCTCTCCTCTCTGGGGCTTGGGGGCGGAATTAGATCGTCTTTCTGCCTTGGCTCTTCACGAGGTTGCTCCAACTTCGAGCAGGTTGGGGGGATCCTCCAACACCCCCCCACCAACTCCTTCCTGTTTGCCACAATATGGCCTCGGCTCCTAAAGCCAAATGTTTAGCTCCCCCACTGGCTCAGCGTTGGTTGCCCTCTGGACCCCCATCTCGGCCTTTGGTGGGCCCCTCCCCTCCATGCCTCCCTACCTGCTCTCTTGGTGTTGACTTCCCCACCACTGCAGTTCTGAGAACTTTCACCCCTAGCCTCCTCGACCAGCGGCTTGTGACACAGCAGCACGGAGAGCGTTGAAGATCCTGAACCCCACCCGGTTGCTCCCAGCAGAATTAAATCAGAGTCCTCCAGGATGAGATGCAGGTGACTCCAACGTGCCCCAAGTCTGAGACCTTCTGGCTTGACCCACAGAGCCCGCTGCCTGTTTAGTCTCCCACCCAGGGAGAGTGTGGACGCGGGGCCCTGCGGCTATGCTCAGAGGTGGGCTGTGATAAGAACAAGCTGGACCCTCATGATCCCCCCCCCCCCCACCGTGAGGTAGGTTCTGCCACCGTCCTCCTCTTGCAGATGCGTCCGTCAAGGACCTGGCAGGGGGGAGGAAGCGCACACCTTTGCTCCTCCTCCGAATGGATGACCACTCGATGTGGAACACGCTCCTGGGCTTGGGGACCACAGCCTCCGAGCCCTCATCGGCCTTGGGGCTCGTCGCGACTGGCTGCTCCCCACCGTCACCTAGCCAGGGGCAAAAACAAGACAGGTCAGTGTCCCGCCCTGGCTGGTCCCCTCTGAGAGCCCAGCAGAGAGCGTGGGACAAGCAATGCTGAAGCTGGAAAAGAAAGAGCGGTGTGTCTGAAGCGCAGAAGAATTGCACCAGCGTCTGCGAAACACCCTCCTGTGAACACGTCCACTCCTTTCCCCGCAGAAACCACACCGCAGACACCTTCAGGGTCGAGAGGCGGCGAGCCAGCCGGCCTGTTTCTCCAGCAAGGAGCTGCTCGAAGTCTCTCTTCACCAGACATGGGCTGGCCTGGGTGCTGGGCCCTAGCTGACTGCCTGTTTCCATGCTGCAGCCAGCACCCGGCTTCCAGCTGTGGCTGGGAGTCCGTGTGGGGGGCCCTCACTGCTGCACGCACGTTACAATCACGTGGGTGCTTTACACATGCCTGACCCCTACCCCTGGCCAATTAAAAAAATTAAAGTTTTTAAACGCTCGTAGCACTGAAAAGACGACTGGAAAGGGCAGATCGGGCTGAGAACCAGGGATGTGGGTTCTTGCTACTCCAAGGGTGCCCCCAGCAGCAGCTGGGAGCATGATAGAAATGCAGAGTCTCGGGGTCCACCCGGACCAGTGGAATCAGGATCTATTTCAGCCAGACTCTCTGGGTGAGTTCTGCGCCCACTCAAGTTGGACAAGCACCAGGCTGTGGGGCAGGAAGAGTCCTGACTCTGCGTCTGGCCCAGGGAACCCTCTGCTGTACCCTGTCATTTTAAATTTGCACCCAGGGGAGAGCAGAGCACGGTCGCCACTTGGGACAGGATCTCTCAGAGTGCGTGGTCTGAGAACCGACAGCCTCATCTTGGTGGCGGGTGTACATGCCCGCCCCATGCCCGCCCCATGCCCGCCCGGTCCATTCGCCGGGGCATCTGCTGGCCACGAGGCGTGCCGTTTCGCACTTTCTGCTGGGGGCCCAGCACACACTAGGGTGAGATGATCTACTGGTTCCCGGGAGAGCGGAAAACACTCCTTTGCACACTTTGTAAGTTAAGCGCGTGGCCCTTTTAACAGTGTCTTTAAACTGACAGACTAGGCCGGGTCAGCCCCCCAAGATGGGACAGGAAGCTGCATAGTCTTTGAAGCAGCCTACACACAGCGAGCCATGGGCCTCAGCCCTCGGTCCTTCTCTCTGCGTCTTTGCCGCCCCGAGTCTGTTCCTGGACCAGCTTCCTGGATGGCAAGGGTGGCTGGTTTGGAATGCAGACTCCCGGGCCCGCTCCCAGACAGACCAGATTGGAATCTGTTCTTCAGCAAGGTCCCTGCGGACTTGCACGCACATTCAAGTTGGAGAGCCCTGGCCTCGGTCCCACTGCGCACCTGGAAGTGACTTTAGCCGAGCTCAGCGGACAGCGCGGCCGGCCACCAGAGAGTGTGTGGCACATGTGTGAGCGAGGACGGGGTCTGCCTGCACTCCCAGACTGCAAGGGAAGTGTGCGACATGTCCCTTCCCTTTGGGCTCGGGATGGGAAGAAGCTCCTGATCCAGCATCCTGTCTGTGGGTCGGAACTGAACTCCAACTCCGGAGGCTGGAGAATTCTCTTGACCCTGAGCTTCAGAGACACCTGGAATGTCATCCCACCCCGGGACACCTATGCAGACAAGGTTCATGCAGGGGGACAAGGACCAAGGCGGGGATCATCGCATCACCTGACAAGGCGGGTCATTTTCCCAAAGCAGGTCTGCCCGGCCGGAAGGGCACCTCTGCCAGCCCATTGCTCCTTGTTCCTCACCTGCCAAGTGTCAGCTACCCCAGGCACGCCCTGGGCAGGCCAGTATATCCATCTGAGCATCATAGACTCAGAACTGCATGGAGCTTCAAGGTGATACCTCCTCGATCCAGAGAAATCAGCTCACCCAAGCCACTCATTCACCACCGCCCAGTGAGGGGCTGCACCCCGGTCTCCTGACCTCGTTTGCTGCTCTGAGATGCTGCAGAAGGCCTGGCTCCTCTTTCATGCCCTGGCTCTGGAGGGCCCATATCACTACGAGTTCCTAGAGCTTATGTCCCAGTCACAAAAGACAAAAACAAAAGGCATCTCTCTTTCCTTTAAAAACCTTTCTTGTCCTTGTTTGGGCTCAGTTGGGAGGTGGCACCACGTATGGTCTGACACGGTGTTGGTTCTGGGTCTCAGGTGGGACATTGGACAGCTGGGCTTCAGACCACCCAGGGGGGCCAGCAGCCCCTCAGGTTGGGCTGGCCAAGAGTTGAGAGGGAAAGGTTGGAGATAAAGTAACAAACTTCCTGAGGCTGCGAAAAGACTGAAAGCTAAGACGGTAGCCATTTACTGCTACTTTTGGGACCACGTAGCTGGGTCTAGGGACTGTGGCCGCACCAGGTCCCACCGGGTTGCTTAGAGGCTTAAGGGTGTTGCTCTCGGGTCAGCTGTGAGTGCCCTGGGGCACATGGCTTGGGAAGCTCAGTCCTCGATAACCTGTGGGTGCACCTCAGCAGCTGGGTGGCTCCTTGGCATGCCTCCTGGTGTAGGGACTGCTGTCCTCTCCTACTCTGACAAGACTTTTAGGTGTCCCGGTGCATGTAGCTTCACACTGGGGCCGTTCAGGACCATTTGAGGGCATGGTCCCTGCCCTCGAGGATTTCTGCCACCTGTGTTTGAATAGGCAGGAGGCCAAAGATACTTTCCTCCCGCTGCCTCAGAGAAGGAAGGAACAGTTATGAGCCACAATGGTTTGTTTGGAAGCACTTTCCCTGTAGTCTGTCCCAGAGAACTCACGCCCTTCTGACTTCTGCCGTGCAGAGAACGCTAACCGTTCAAATAACAGGGGTAAAAGAGATTTGGGAAAAGAGCCCACCTGTCAAATACAATTTTGAAGCTCACTGCAATTTCGTGGAGGGGGTCAGAACAACCGCCAGCCATATATGACATCTTTCAGAGGAGGAAACAGTCGAGCTGGTTGATCTCACTGACAGTCAACCCTTTACTCCAATAGGTCTGTGCCTGGACACTCGCCACAAGCTGCCTATCTCGGGTATGGGCAGGTTTCATTGTCTTCTGGAGGGGGTTTGATGCTGTCCTTATATCACTTGCAATGTTCAGCATATGGAGTGTCTGGAACCTACCATTTGTCACCCCTTCCAAGCTCCCTGGGCCTCCTATTCTTCCAGCCTACTGTTTGCAAACACACCCACACATCACAAGGCCCTTTCCTTACTATGCCAGCATGACTTTTTCTTTTTTTTAAGTGATACATTATATATGATTTGATTTTTTCCTACATCCAATTCTACATGGTTACACTTTGGGCCACAATTCGGGCATGATTCCCTGTGTGGACATTGAGCTTTGTCCCATGACTTGTCATTTCCAGGGCCTCTCCCCCCCTCTCTCTCCCTCTCTGTCTTTCTCTCTTTCTCTTCCTCTGTGTGTGTGATATGGATGTCTGTGGGTGGTAAATTGGGTGGTATCTTTTCCTGTGAAGTTGTGTTTAGTTGACATTTTCAAAGATCATTCTATAAACTAGCAGAGGCCTTGAATGTGAGCCCTGGAAGGGTTTTGAGAGTACTCAGTCCAGGCCTCTCATTTAGCAGATGGGCAAACTGCAGCCTGGAGAAATGGACTGACGACTGCAGTCCACACAGCTGCTGTCTCTTGCCTTCCAGTCCAAGACTTATTTCCCTAAACCTTCCCTCCTATCTACTAGGAATTTATGTTTGGTCTATCATTTCAACCATACTTTTGGGGAATTCAAGAAAAGCCCACAAGTCTTCCTGAGCCTTCCTATGATATCTGCACTGGGAAGGGCGTTATGAGGGACATGGGCAGAGTAGTGGAGGTCAGGTCCATGGTGACACTTGGAGGTAAATTATTTGGAAGTCCCAACTTTTTAATTGGCCAATTTTTAAAGAAGGTGGGGTATGAGTCACTGTAATCCTGAGATAAGCAAGATCTCATCCTAACAGCAAATACTTTAATCTCTTTCTCTTCTTCCTCACAGAGCTCACAAGTTGACCAATGGACTTGCCTAGATTTTGTTTGGTTTTGCTTTGTTTTTGGTGTCTTTGGCTCACGCCACGGAGAAGACGCTAATAAGCATAAATGAGTTGGTACCTCATGTAATCTCAAGATACCTTATGATGACTTCATAAATAAGGTTAAAGAGTCAATGATCAGAGCAGGATATCTGTGACTGGGGTAACACCAGAATGACTGAGAACTCTCTTCCCCCTGTTCCCACCCCAGCCAACACCCTCAGAACTGAATGTCTACACTGTCAATCTCCCTGATTTTGATCTCTCCCTTTCCCACCCATTCTATGCTTCAGCCACTAGAACATATCATTATGTCCCTCTCTTACACAATTATCTACATGGCTCCCCATTGCCCAGGGTGCGATGCTCAGCCACCTCTGCCTGGCTTTCCAGATATTTCACAACATGGCTAAATTCATCATCCATCTCTTCCTGTTCCTTCTCAACACACACCCTGTCTTGACACTCTGGCCTTATCGGGGGCCCTCTGGGTTTCTTTCCTCTTCTGGCCTAGTTTCTATCGACCCTTCAAGGTCTGGTTTATGCTCTACCTCTTCTCTGATGCCATCCTTGACTTATTTGGCCATATAAATCATTCCATTCTTTGAGTTCCCATTGCATTTGCAGAAGATTGTAGACTTCATGTTTTGAAGTTAGGGCCACGTGAAGTCTTATATTGATAGTTACCATGCACATGAAAGGTTCGTAAATCCTTTCCAATCCAATGAAATAACTTGGCATTATCCATCCTTGACCAAGTGACCTGTGAGTCTAGGCACGGACAGAAGGAAACTGAGGCCCGGAGACGAAGTGGCTCACCTGAGGCTGCAGAGCTGGTCAGTGGTGGAGCCAGGTTTTGACCTTGAGGTGTTGATGCTTTACTCCTGATAGGTTTTACAGGTGGGTGGAGCCTTCCCAAATGATATCAATGGACTTGTGACATTTTTAACTTTAAAAAATTATGAATTA